CTCTAGACCATTATCAGTCCTAATAGTCTTAATTTTGGAATTAAACTGGATTGAAACATACTCCAAAAAAAGTGATGATGATGTTTATGGCCTTAGATTTATGCTTCATTAAGAAAATTCAAGTGTGTCTGGAATAGTCATCAACAATTGTAAGAAAGTAGGAATGACCATTCAATGATTTGGAAGGGGCATTACCCTAGATGTCAATATGTAACAACTGAAAAGGAGTTACAGATGTACTTTTACTTGTAGGGAAATGTAATCTCTTCTGTTTTGCTAGAGGGCAAACAGGACAGTGAGAATTATCAATACTGGATACAGATGGATTACTAAGATGTAAGGATAACAGTTTTGTGTGAGGAAGATGACCAAGTCTATAATGCCAGATGTTGAACTGCTGTTTTGCTGTAGAAAAGACTGCTACAAAGTGTGTTTGAGTAGATTGAGAAGGGATAGATGAGAGTTGTAAGTGAGATGTCTGTTGGGGAGAGTGCATAATGTACAACCCTTCCACTAAGCTAGTTGTACCATTCATTTTCAGGGAAGGGAGCTCCTGGATGAGACAGAAAGAGGAATGGAACCATAAACAGATGGTTGGATTCTTAATTAATTTGCTAACAGAGACCAAATTAAATGTGAAGGTAGGCACAAATAAAGCATTTCTAAGAATAAGAGACTCAAAGAGATGAAATTGTGCCAATAGCAGTGACAGTTACTTTGTCACCATTAGGTAAGTGAACAAAAGTGTTAGACACTTCTTTGTAAGCGCTAAAAGAATCTAAAGAACACACAATATGGTCAGTTGCTCCTGTGTCTATAATCCACTTGTTAGTAAGTGTAATGTAGCAGAAAGAGCCAGACTATATTTACCATGAGTTGCAGGATCTTCAATAATATGAGAGGCCACAGAGTTGGACCTACTCATGATTTGGTGAGAACCAGAGTCATCATTCTCAGCATAGTGAGATGGATGAGATGCTTGATTGCCTATGAACACATCTGCAAAGCTAGGAGATGGTGGAGCCAGCTGCTGTGAGGCTGCAGGAGCACCTTGTTGAGAAAAAGGTTGCATTGTGACATTATGTTCAATAGTGACATTATTAGCTTGTCTAGGTGGATTCTTCTTCTTAGGCTGATAACCTGGTGGATAGCCATTTTTCTTTAAGCAAATGTCCTCTGTATGCCCAGTATAACCAAAAAATTGTGCAAACTGGCTTTTTACCTTGCTTCTTAAAACCCTGCCCTACTCCCTGAACCCCCAAATTAGTACAAGCAACTCTGGTAGCAAATATCATGCTGTCTGCAGCAGGATTAGGAGGATGCCGGGAACTAGTTTTAGGCAGTAAATTGTTCGCAGTTCATGTTGAACCATCATAGCAAAAACCTTGTTGATAGGCGGCAACGGATCAAGTAACATGACTGTTGACCTTGGAGCATTGAAACTATCATTCAAGTTCCTCAAGAACCTAATCACCTTATCATTCATGTGATCTTTTCTAAGAGATGTAAGAATACAACGGAAAATAGCTTCACATTCACAATCATGGATAGACCTAAAATTAGCCAATTGATCCCATAGTGCTCGTTGCTTCGAGTAGTACTGAGAGATGCTAAGAGTACCTTGTTTGAGCTGGAAGATTGCCTTTTGCAAATCAGCGATCCTGAATGAATATCCCTGAGAAAATTGCTCGCTTAGTTCATTCCAAGCACCAATGGTTGTTGTGACATAGAGAATGCTCTCGGCAATTGTAGGAATAACGGACCGTTGAATCCAGCTGAGCAGAAGCTTTTTGTTTCGATTCCAGGGCTCAAGAAGAGGGGAATCATCTGGTGGCTGCGGAATCTGGTCGTTGAAGAACCTTAGCTTGTTCTCGCCATCGATGACTAGAATCATCGATCTCTCCCAGCTGGAGAAGTTATTCTCAGTCAGCGGCTACGATACCAGGCATTGGCCCTAATTCTCCGAAGGATGAATGAAGAATGGAGATGCTGTATCAGAAATCGCGACGCCGAGGTAAGAAATTCCACCAGATCCGTGCTGGCGACCTCCATTGTGAGGATTTTTGGCTTCAAAGCCAGGACGAACAAAAGAATTCGTCGCCATTGTAGGACACGAAGAAATCTTTTTACGAAGAAATTGGAAGGAGATGAGTCTGCGGAAGCGAGAAAGCGAGCGATGCGGCTCAGAGGAGCTCTGATACCATGCTAGAATCATTGATTATAGAGAATGTGTCTGTATTCAGACTGAATGAATGGAGAAAACGTAGAGAGATAAAGTAAAGTAGATGTATTTATAGTCTAATCCTGTAACTAACTCTAACTAATCCTATGGCTATTTACATTATAATCATCTATCTTGCTGTAAGTTTACATTATGGTCCTATATTATAATATACGGAGATGAGAAGTTGCCTCCTTTGTAACTTATAGGGACAACCAATCGTCCCTTAGCCTTTATTTTCAGAGTCAGCTAATTGCCTTCTATGTAACTTGCAGGGACGGCCAGTTGTCTCCTAGCCTTTATTTTCAAAGACAACTAATTGTCTTCTATATAACTTGTAGGGACGACCGATTGTCCATTAGCCTTTATCTTTCGAGCTGGCTAGTAGTTACCTATGTATATGTCCATTAAGCGGTGTTTTTAGGATGATAACCGTGACCTATCTAGCCTGTAGGAACAACTAGTCTAGTGTGTTCCCAATTTGAGCACAATTTTTCCTCAACCTCTTCGACCAAGCAATAGAAGGTAGCAACTTTAATAATAAAAAAAAAAGGTAGCAACATATTGGTTAGAGACACTTCTTCGGACTATTTTTTGAAAACATTGACATATCTTGCAAAATTACTACTAATTATTATACCTTACTAAATTAGTAATTACAAAAAATGAAAAAGAAAATTAGTGATTTCCATCTACCAGCTTGTGAATTCCTAGGTGGAAAAGGAAAAAATAGAAGAAAATATTTGAAATGATACTATTAATGAATTCAATGATCAATCTAAAGGATACACAAAGCAAACTAAAAAAGCAACGAATAAAGAAAAATATTGAAAGGATATTCATAAAAAAAAATCAATGATGAAATTACAAAAATTGTCTAGAAAGAAATATTTTAAAAAATGTAGTTCCCAAAGTAATTTTCTATTTACCCAAAAAATAGTTTCCACTAGCCGGTTAAAAATGAATGTCGCTAGTTCCGAACTTATTTTAGGGGACAACTAAAAAAAATTGATATTAATATAAAATGGTTTTCTTTTATGGGGACAACTATACATGTTTGTCCCTTATACTACTTAAACTCATATTTTCTGAGACAAATTACAAGGGCTGGAGGTTCGATTATCGGTTGTCGGTTAATCGTTCGGTTAAACCGACAACCGGCGGTTACCGGTTAACCGACTAACCGAAATTAAAGGGCTCGGCCGGTGGTTGCTAGCGGGGTTGGAGGTGCCGGTTAACCGGCTAACAGACAGTAATAACCGCCGATTAAACCGACTAACCGGCGCATCAATCACCTAGTAAAAACGACGCCGCTCCACGTTCCACCCACCCTAAGTCCCTAACCCTAATCCGCCTAATTCCTAAATCGATCCGCATTCCTCTCATCGCGAGGCCGAGACGGCGAGACCTCCCTCACTCCCTGACTCTCCCTATCGCCGCCCTCACTCTCCCCTGCCGCCGCCTGCCCGACGATGCCGCCATCTCCCTCCCCGACGCCAGCAGCTCTCCCCCATTTCTCTCCACGACGCCGCCGCTCTCCGCCATTTGCCTCCCCGACCCGCGCGGCCACGCCATCTGCCCTGAGTCGTTTCCTCCACTCCGAGCCTTTCAAGGACCTGGTGAAGACCAGACTCCCCGACAGGTTCGCCGCGCAACCCATCAATCGCACCGGCCGCCGGAAGTGCTCCATCGCCCATGTCGTCCTCCAAGAAGGCACCGGCTAAGTCATAATCAACTACCGCGATGCCAATGTAAGCCTTTAGCAACCATCGCCCTTTCCCTTCACCCGAATTCGGAATTCCCCAATGTGTAGATTTCATGTCCCAATGTAGATAGGGTCTGGAACTTGCTCGCATGGAAGAAAGAAATAAAGAAAGAAAGTTGTTTGCTTGCTGCTTCTTTGAAATGGACAGTGGTCCTTCCTTTTTATTATATTGCCTGAAATTTTTGTTTCCATTCCACCCTGCGGGCTGAAATGGACGAAACTGGTTTGCATGATGCGTTGCGGTTACCACGGTTAACCAAGCAACTAATCGGTAACCGACCGATCGGTTACCGACTAACCGATGATTTCCGTCAGGCGGTTGACGGTAAACAATGCTTGCGTCGCGGTTAACCGGTAACCGACATTTCTGTTATCGGTTATAACCGATCTAACCAAAATCCAACCCTACAAATTACAGTGGCGTCCCCTATTACTTGTCCCTATGCTTTCTAATTTTGTAGTGATGGTCACATTTTTGGTTTAATCTTTGTTCGTTTTCTTTCTTTCAAAACACATACCAAATAAAATGAACATCTCCCAGATCTGAGCATCCTACATAGCCTGAAGCCCTGAACTGAACTGGACATGTGATGGGTACGAAATTGAGTCGAGGCAAATACCAATTTCAACTTGTAGTGAATAGGATGGTAAAAAGGAAAAGAAGTTGAGTCGGATGGTAGTGGCCCTGGTTGGCCCCATACGGTAGCTAGTAGCGAGAAATATATTGAACAGCAAAATCACAAGTAAAGATTGGCGGAAGGCGGGATTGGATTGAGGGAGTGGGATGGGCCAACCACCATTAAGATGTCCACCTCAATTAACGAATTACTCCAGTGAAGTGGACGCGAAGAAACACCCCGCCAAAGCCAATATTTATCAACCATCCTTCCTTTCCTTTGGACATATAGCTAACCAACTTCTATAACTAACTTTTATTACACACATCACACTTCCTTTCCGTTCATATAAAAACCGTATCTAGGCTAAGGCAACCCAATACATGATCAGAAAAGCCTTTCATCCATCATCATCACTTCAACTTCAACTTCAACCACCGTACGTACACGGATGGACGGCAGAGAAGAAGGCGGCGTGGCGGTAATGGGTCGGGCCGAGATCGACACCCGAGCTCCGTTCAAGTCCGTTCGGGAAGCTGTCATGTTGTTCGGGGAGAGAGTTCTAGCTGGCGAAATTTACGCCACCAAGCTCAAAGAAGTACGTACCTTTCGTTTCTCTTTTCTCTCGATCGTTTCTGATTTTTTTGTTTTTATTCAGCCTAAGCACTCATTAACCATCACTTGACTTCATGTATATAAAGATTAAGTCAGAGAATGAAAATCGTAGCAGCGGGAGGGGACGTGCTGAGGCCGAGCTGGAAGAGACAAAGCTCAGCTTGATGAAGGCCAAGGAAGAAGGCAACTTAATGGCGTATCGAATCAAATCCCTACGACAGGAGCTGGAACTAACCAAGAAGGAGCTTAACCAGATAAAGACTAGACAAAAGTACAACGCCGACCACCAAGACAAACAATGGTCCGTTTCTGCGGGCCCACGTGGCCAAGATCCGGAGATTGAGGAGGAGGAGGAGGATCTCAAGTTCATGGAGACAGCGGCAAACTTTAACGATGAGGAACAAGAGCTTGAACTTGAGAAGAAGAGGTACGTCAAGTTTGCGAGCCCACCGTCGCTGGCCAAAGTCATGGTCGCTAGGGAGGATATGATGCGGCAGAGGTCAGCATCATCGCCTCGTGGAGCAACGCCGTCGTCTTACGGGAAGAAGAGCGTACCGGCACCTAAAAGACGGTCGATCGGGCCAGTATTGGGCTGGTTGTTTCATAAGAAGAAGGGAGGAGGCCCAAGCCCAAGCCCAGGAGCAGATGCTGGCCTTAATACGGCATATGATTATCAATCCTCGCGGTACTGATATAAAAAAAGGAAAGAGCCTACAATTTTTCCTCCAAAATTTCATTTTTCTTCGTGTGCAGATGCAAAACAAAATTTTATAATCATATTACTTTTTTTTGTCCTGAAATGATTTTTTGGTTGCTGCTGAAGCCTGAAGAGATGAGGGAGGTTGAGCTGAAGGAGGTCGTTTGTAATTTTTGTAAGATCAGGCTCATCCTCTTACTATCATTAGGTGATATTGTGTTGGAATAAAAGTTCAAGTATTTTGGTTGTGCAAAGTGCAATGAGACAGTCACCCAACAATATTTTCTCCTCTTTCATTTCTCTTAAGAATCTTTTCATCCTCTTTCCAATAGGCTGCATTCACACCATTCATGACCGTTTTAAGAGCCATCAAACCAAATGGCGTTGCCTACCAATTCTTTCAAAATGTTGGGGATCCGTTTTGTGATATGAAATTTGAGCTTTTTTTCATTTGATTGTTATGCCGGATAGTTGATGTAACGCCCTAACCCGGCCGGATACTACTTTCACTAAAATGCTCTTGAGAAATAAAGTACTCAAATCTTAAATTGCAGTGGGAAAAATTTTCATAAATAAAATACTGAAAAAACACACACTTGTAGTTCAATCAACGCCCTAACACGTGGGCAAACTCAATACTTAAAAGCTCAAAATGATCTCAAGTCTATACTCATAATCATAAATGTAAATAACTAATAATCTCTAATATTGTTGCTTCTGAAAACCTTGACTAAGCATCTTCAGTGACGCTTATATATACTGCCCTCCTCTAGCTGGCTGCCCTAGAACTCGCTGCTCACTAACTGCTCCTCTAGCTCCTCCTCTAGCTCTTCAAACTGGTGAGTGAGATGAGGTCAGTCTACGCCCTTACGTTTAACATCTTATTAATACTTGATCACTTTACTTAACTTAGTGGAAGTAGTTTTGCACTTCCACTATTAAAAATCTTAACTCTTAAAACTGTATTCTTAAAGCTCAAATCTCCACTTAAAATTCTTGACTGACACGGGGATCCCTCACTAGCTAGTCTGTTTGCCAACTCATACGTATGAGAGCCCATCCAGGCTTTCCTTAAACTTAAACTTATCGTGGTGGCTCTTCACCACGATTCTCAAGATCATAATTGCTGCTCATCTTAAAAATATCACGAGCATAACTGATGCTCGTCTTAAAAAGTCTCAAGAGCATAACTGCTGCTCTATCTCAAAGATCACAAATGGCAACGGACTGGCACTAGTGACTAAAACTCTTAAAACGGTTTCACCTTCTTGAAGGTGAAGTACTTCTTAAAAGAAAACGTGTTCTTAAACTTCAACTTACTTATAAATAAAGCACGCATTATAATATGTATAACTGGAAACATAAATCACACGCAATCACATGCATCAAATAAACACACAAATGCAAGTATAGCACATAGCGGTCAATCTCAAAAACTGAAATACCGTAAGGCGTAGAATTTGCCCATTTTGGTATCAGTGCCGGTCTTCCTCTGTTCCTTGGTTTCCAAGGAATATTGGAATGTCGGTCTCAGTTTTTAAAGGTTTTATTTTAAAGGAAAGGAAAATGAGTCAAGGGTATCCTTTTAAGTGTCTATAGAATCTCTAGTCTGCTCTAATCGTATTAAGATAAATAACTTTAGTCCTAATAAAAGGGTGTGCCAATCGCAAAGTTCTATCCCGAGGTATAAGTACGAGGATTTTTCTTCTTAGCTACTAGCAAGTGATCTAATAGGTTAAGATATACAAATAGGAGAACTATGAATATCCGAAGAAAGAGCTACAATCACTAGATGTCAGTAGCTATAATGATGGGAGAATTTCAGGGGCCTTGATCCTAAGCAGTGGCGAGTCAAGAAACAAAGAGGGCCATGAGAAGTCCCTCAACTAGTTTTAGTGGTCAACGCTATTACAACACAGTGACAAGGAGCAGTGGAAAGCTTACACTTCAAGAGAAGCTAGTGTAGTATGAATGAAATAAAGGAGGAAGTAAGTAGGTTAGAGGGGGTATGAAAGGACGTCAAGAAGTCAATAGTTTAAGGAGGAGAGGAGGCATGGTCGTTTACATATGACGATTAAGGAAACCTTATAGATAAACTACGTCACTAGAGAAGAGGGTACATAACCCTGGGAAGGTACGCCGATGAAAACCCTTTAGAAGGAACAAGACAAGCAACGAGATAAATGATGTAGAGGGCAAGTTATGGTCTCAGTACGACCACCATTGGATAAGACGTGGAGGAAAGTGCCACCAAAGTCTAAAGCATGCCTGGTAGAAGACAGTGGGGAGTCAATACATAAGAAAAGACATGGAATGTGAGAGAGAATAACAGTTAGCTAGTAAGTGGCAGTACGAATAGAGAACTACTCCTTAGCAAGGCGTGAGTTGAATACTAAGTTAACACCGAGCTAGAAAGAGGATATTAGAAACACTACAAACTACCCAGATCACGAAAGGTCAGGAGGTCGTTGGGACCATCGAAAGGGGAATGCAAGAGTTCATGATGATATAGTATGTGGTTGTCCTATCCTAAATAGAGGGAGCACCTAGCCACCTAGGGTTTGTGAGGGGTGACAAAAGGAGGAACCCCATAGTAAGTTGGAAATAGGGGCTAAGAGTTAAAGTCTCGAAACTAGCTATAGGAGTAAGTCGTTAAGCCAACCGAGTATAGACAAGTAAGTGGCACGTTCAATAAATATTCTAGTGAATGACAGAGAATTCGAGGAAGCACATGGAAGTTCTGATAAAGGATTGAGAATTTGTGTAGGTGACTCGAGTTCACAAAACTGCATAGTGGATTACGACGAGGAAAAGCATTACCAAGAAGGAGGAAATCATTAAGTTACCTTATCCAAGGTGCCCCACTCTGGGTGGGAGCGGCATAGTAGGATGTCATCCAGAGGAAGCGGTTAGTTAAGGATAAGTAAGAACACGTTCAGTTAAGCCACTAAGAACCCAGACTAAGGGATTAAGGCCATATACAGGTATCAATCGGGACAAATGACGTGAATGAGGTATGTTAAATCCTACGAAGGGAAATCCTCTATTGGAAGCTTGGACCCAAAAAAATAAAAATAAATAAATAACGAGAAGGTACTAAACGGAGGTTGGTGACCAAATATAGTACAAAGCAAAAATAGAGGGACAATAAAGGTAAAGAAGCAAGAGGACACCATAGGACGTTATAGAAAGAAAATGGTGGTCATCGACAGGGCGATGTATGCGTCAAGGAGGATAGCTAAGACAGGCCAAAGCAGGAATGCAACAAACAACAAAGAAGCATTAAGTTGACTACCAGTAGATAACAATTGATCCCTGGGAAGTCCATCGCGAAATTTCGATCAATTTTAAGATGAAATCATGGTTGTCAAGAATGGTCAAAGCGAGAACCTTATCGGTCAAGGTACTTAATTGAGAAGAGAATATGAGCACCCAGATGACTACATCGAGGACGAGGGACATCTAGAACTAGCAAGGAACATCAGGAAGAAGGGTCATGAGTAAAGAAAGTAAGAGATGCAAAGTTAGGAGATACAAGGACCTAGGTGACCTATGAGGTCAACTCTAGACGAGAATTACGTTAAAGGAGTTTTACCATCTGACTGGATAGAGGATAAGCCGCCATATGTAACCTTGGGGTTCAAAAGAAGCATTAACATCTCGTATACCGAATAATGTAGATAGTTATTTTTCCGACATACGTCCAAGGTGCATAGGTGATGTGAGGGGTTAAGAAACCACCAAAAATTTGGAGGTAGCCAATGAATGGAGGGAAGGATTTATAGGTCATGTCTTACAACTTAAAGGAAATTCAAATCCTCTAAGTAAAAAGGATTACCACAAGCGAGGCTTGGAGTAATCACAGTGGACAAATTTCGAGGGCGAAATTTCAATATGTGTGGAGGAAATGTAATACATAAACTTCTATTTAGGTTCAACAACAAGTACCGAATGAGTTGGATAAATAAATTGAGTCAGAATTTTGTCCCATCACGTCCCGTGCCAAGTTACGGATTTAAAGAGCAATGAGTCACTCAAAGCTACTCGATGCTACCGAATTAGGTGAGAGTACCTGTTATGGTCAAGAGAAAATATAAGGAGTATTAGTAAACCGTACGAGGCAATCAAAGGACACCAGTGAAGTTCATATAGTGAGAATAAATTCTTGAGGAAAGGAACTACAAGAATGATATTGACAAGGAATGAGTTATGAGCAAATTTCGGGGACGAAATATTTTTAAGGAGGAGGGAAATGTTACATCCCAACCGAGATAGTTCGATTGAATACAATCATCTCAGAACAAGTGGGTGTTTCTCAGTCTCTATCCTACAATCCAATTTTGGGGACGAAATTTTTCCAACGGGGGGAGGAATGGTACACCCCATCTTTTTCTAAGTCGAAATGACCATTATGTCCTTGGTTCAAAGTTTTCAAATTCCACCGTAATGTCGAGGAGGACTGAAAATGTGAACTATTCGTTCAAGCGGTGTCGAATTTTGACATAAAATGAGAAAGCTACAGACGTTAATCGAGTTTCGGATTAAACTCGACCGTGAAATTTCCAAAATGGACTACAACTATTTAAACCCTAAACCCTAACCCACTGGGTCTCGCTACATGTTCACCCCATCCATATACATATAAATCACTAAACCTAGGATGTACGAGAGCAGATAGCTCCCCTTCCTTTTCCCTAATAATCACAACGACCGCCACCTCCCAGTTCCCATCTCGACCTCACGCCGCGATCCATCGCGCAAGGCAGCAGCTAGGCAATCCTTCACCATCGCCGCGATTTAATATAAGGTGGGGGGGGAGGGTTGCTACTAGTGTTATCTCTTTACTCGGAAAACTATCTTTAGCTTTCGATTTCGACGAATCTGCACTTGACCTGAAAGTCTCATCCCTACTACGTACGACCGCCGCCGCCACTAGTACCATTTTTTGTGAAATAGGGGAAAGATCAAGTGAACCATGGAAAAAGCGTTTTGAAAATTTCATGGTCCCGTAGCCTGAGGGCAAGTGACCAAAAGATCCATTTCCCATTGAGAAAAGGCATCATAACTACTTCTGTCTCAAGTTGGGATAATTGCTTAGTCTTTGTCATCGAGGATAAACGAAATCATCCTTCAAAGAAGGTAGCTGCTCGTGGGACGGGAGTTCTCGCGAGATTTTATGGGGGGAAGATGAAGAATGTCAAGTCTGTGTTGAGAGAGTTACATAATTCAAATTTAAGTCAGCTGCAAACAAGAA